TTGTACCTACTATTTTTAATCTGAGAACGTGATCCGGAACTATTTCTTCTTTCTGGCTGCTGAACTCAGCTAATCTTGTTGCTACCATATCCCCATAAACTGGGCACACTGAAGTTTTAAAGAATTTTTAATTTCATATCCTGTTTCTAAACATAATATAAATCATTCATTTAAAAATATGACTATATACTTGTCAATCTAATGAAAACACACAAAATTAGTTTGTACCCACTATTTTGGTCTACATTTTAATAATTATTTTTAAATGTCCAATTATATTATTAATCTTTTCCCAAGTTCTAACAATCTTATGAATCAGCTGGAAAAATATTTTAAACAAAAGTGATTTACAAAGATATTGGAATTAATAATTTATGTGAGAATAATTCAGAATAAATAAATTCAAATTAAAATGGCAATGTCATTAAAATATTAATCAAATATTTTATATCAAATTAAAGAGTAGTAATCTCTTTTCAGGGTAACAGATTGGTTTTTTTTTTGCTTAGATAATAAATTCTTCCCCAAATATCCCAAATCAACAGTCTAAGAGTTTTTTACCTGGTGTTCCAGTTTCTTGACTTTTTTCTTCTGGTTTGCCACTTGACTTGAACGCCCTTTGCTCATCCACCTCATCGTCCCCCCACCATGATGGCTGTCCGTATAATGGAGTACCACGGGGCATAGCAGAAGTATCTGGAAAGAGGTGGGAAAAATCTGTCTATAGCATATGAAACAGAAAAAAGAATATGCTTTTGCAGAATACTAGAATTACCTGGTAGATTTATTAAGTGAAAGACAAAGTATAGTCTAGATAGCCGAACAGTCCTCTAAGTTGAATAACTTAGTACTTGTGTAAGACCGTATTCAGTGTTGGACATGATTAAATAATTGAAAATTTGCACTGGCTGGTATCTACATAACGCAAACTGCTATAGCCCAGTAGCTTTTTTATTCAAGTGTAATCAGTTCTTTGGTTTCTAGAAATGAGTCATTAAGTGTAAATACTATAAAAGATCAAACTAAAGTACATTTTGGTGTAAGTGACCCTTAAACATTTTTAGTTTAAGGCTGTAGGGCATTGTACAATAACTGAATTTAAACTACCGTAGCTGTTAACAGGACTAATAGATTCACATTTGAACAAATTTGGTAATGTTTATCAAATTTTAAAAATTGCTTTTGTATGACAGGGATTTTTATATAAAGCATTTCTTACAGTTCCTGGAACATGATAAATATGATAATTACGATAACGTAGCAAAATTGGATAGTTCTTGTTCATTCATTTCAGTTTTTATAACTCAGAAGAAAAAGCAAACAAACATGAAATAATAAAAATACTGTAAGGTAACTTACATTTACTTCTTTCAGATATTTAAACATGTGAAACGCACCTACATATGACTGTCATAAAATGTGTTTTGTAGTGCTTTCCAATGAAGGCACTGGCTGCTTTAAAACCCACTGTGAAATGTCATTATTATTATTGTTTTTTGTATGGACATGGCAGAGTTTTTGAGAACAAAGCATGGTATTTTCTACATAATCAAGTATAAACACAGTATTTTCAAAGAGGGTAGCTTACCCATGGCTTTTTCCTCAGATTTTAGTGCTTCTGTAGCCTTGTGCTGTACTTCTGTTGCAGTATCTGCAACCTTGGAATCTATGCTTTTGGCACATGCGGATTTTGATAATTCCGGTTCTGAAGATTTCTGGGACAACTGAAACTGAATGGTAAACTTCTCATGCTAGAAAACATGTAAAATGCAAGCGAAATATCCATGAGTGAAATCAGCCCTAGTAAATGATTAGGTTCACAAAAGAAATAAGGAAAAAACTTTTTACCTTTAGAGCTTCTTCAGGGACCCTCATTTCTCCTCGTACTACAGTGAAAAGATTTGTATGTAAACGGGGCTAAGGAAGAATATACTTTCAAAATTCTGATAATCGAGCTTAAAATAATCATAAGATAAACCGAAAAATGGTCATATGTTTAAACAGGTAATTACAGCAAAGTTATATTCCCCTAAGAGTTAAATGTTCAAGTATGCTCAAAAATATAAACTTTTCATTTTTCTTTTCGGCTTAATTCTGGGGAGCTTCTTGCGTGTGAATATAGTCATGAGCTGGGACGGTTCATTTTTAAATAATAAAGAAAAACCTTAAAATCTAACAAGTAATTCTAAACTTAGGTAATTATGGCCTTCAAGAAGCAAATAACTGGATCACTAATCGCAGCACAAAAAGACATTTTCAGTTCTCACTAACAATATGATTGCAAGGGGGAAAAAAAGCACCTGGATCAAATTATATTGATAGCTAATCACAAAATGTAAAAGGAAGTATCTCATCAGTGATTACCCAACCGTTAATTCTGAAGTAATTCAATGACTCAGACTCCACAGGCACTGATAAAAATAAAGTTCATTTTGAAAATGTAAAATAAATGCTATAATTAGGGTCCTTACAGCAAGCACAGCCACCCCTTTCCCTAAGGAATTGCAATCAGGGTCAGATTACATTATCAAACAACTGATTCTATACAGATTAGAACCAAGTACTAGATATAATGAATGCTTTCATTATTATGCCAAAAGGAACAATGCTTCTGTATATTAAAAACATCTTTCATTAAACAGTTGAGGTCACATTTCCCACCATTACTTAACCCTGTAATGAAAGGACTTTTATAACCATGTATTGAATTCCATTCTTCACCAATTCAGTGCGGTCATGACTTCAAGGTTAGAAAGCTATAATTACCACGGCTATTTGAGGGGGAAGACTTCTAACGCATAAGGAGCAATACGCTTGTTAACGAGTCTTTAACCTATATTTCTACTCATTAGAATAGAAATTCAGATTTTTAAAGAACTTTAAAGAGCTTTGGGGACTATCCTCTTCAATTCCATTACCTTGGCTCCTTATTCTATAGGAACTTCCGGACTGGGGCAGAACCCAAAGATAATAATCTAGTCAACTGACCGCAGTCTGGGGCTTCCGTCACCTAACATTGCTTCCTACAGTTGTGAAATATTAAAAATTTCCTTTTTTTAATGTACATATGCTGATAAATATAGAAGTGCATACTTTACAACTAAATATATTTACTGAAAAATAAAAGTCTAGTAATTTTGTTTATCCCCAAGAAACCCAAGAAACTCAACGGTTGGAGAAGATTCATAGCACTCTTACATTTTCAATGGGAAACACAGTATCTTTAAAAAATTGAAAGCCATTTCTATTTTTTTCAGTGGGAAACACACATAATTTTAGGAGGATTTCCTGGTGAGGATTTCCAGGGCAAACTTCAGGCAGGCCATACATCTTAGGTTTTTAAACACTTTGCCTACCAAAAAGGTTGCTGGGCGTGGGGCTGAAGAACTCTAGCTTCCTCTTGTTTAGGTCATGAATTTACCTGAGCACTCGGCTCCAGTTTTTACCCCCAGCTTATCTACCATCTTCCTTGTGGTACAAACCTAAGTGACTGTTTTTAACTTGCTAATTAAGAAAAATGTCAAACTAAGGTACAATTACTCATGATGTCAGTAAGATACAAAAAACACAATACAGTATTATTAACTATAGTCATATGTCAATTATAGAGGGTATTAGGCTAAGTGAAATAAGTCAGACTGAGAAAGGCAGATACCATATGCTCTTACTTATATGTGGAATCTAAAGAACAGAATAAATGAACAAATACAACAGAAACAGAATCGTAGATACTGAGAACAACCCGGTGATTGTGAGAAGGGAGGGGATGGGTGAGAAAGGTGAAGACATTAGGAAGTACAAATTGGTAGTTACAAAATAGTCACAGGGATGTGAAACACAGTATGGGAAATACAGTCAATAATACTGTAATAAATATGTATAGTGTCAGATGAGTACCAAACTTATGGGGGGATCACTTCATAAATTATATAAATGCCTAACTACTACAACTGCTGTACAACTGAAACTATAATAATATAAAATAATATTGAATGTCAACTATAATTAAAAAATATATAGTCATAGAATGTAAAGTACAGCATAGGGAATGTAGTCAATGGTATTGTAATAGCTATGTACGGTGTCAGAAGGGTAGTGGACTTGTTGGGGTTATCACTTTGTGAGATGTGTAAATGTTTAATCACTATATTGTTTTGTACACCTGGAACTAATAATAATTCAAAAAAATAAATTACACAAAGTTTAAATTCTTGTTTATTAAAAATCATAATATTTATAGGCTATTTCCCCATTTCTTTACATAAGACTATGATTGTTATTCTAAGTCATCCCTATGCTCAATTTATTCAGGAAATGTTTATCTAAACATGGGATCATGGAAACTCATCTGCATACTAGTAATGTGTTCTAAGATACCATCTTTTATCTTAATGACAATTAAGGTTAAAAAGAGAACAAATTTTTAAACAGTTTTAGTTTCTCCTAGGGTTCTGGCTTTAAAACACCAGTTTTCAGATATCATTGTGAGCACATCTTTCAAAAATTATTTGTAAAATTAAGTCATTAAGTTGTTTCACTGAGGAAATACCAATCACAGAATGAGGAAAATTTTTAAAAATTTTCCAAGTATTACATAATGAGCTTTTGTTACTTGGGACAAGATTTCCAGTGTTATAAGGTTTCAGAAAGAGCTGTATTCTCAAACAATTTAGATGGGTATTAATATAATATTTTCTGAAAAACTAGGACATATTACAAAAAAATGTAACTCCCATAGTGTTGAAGACACTGATGTCAGATAAATGAGAATATTTGAATGCAATTATTTTATACAATGAAAAATTGGGAAGTAAGCATTTTTTCTAAATATACATATATATATTACATGTGATTTAAAAATAGATACATAAGAAGGTTATCCTTAATAATTCTCCTTCAAGTTAACCCAGAGCTTTTCTTTTTAAATCTTCTCATTAGGAGTATGGGAAAATTCCTTTATTTAACTATATTTGATAATGAAATATACAATTATGCTACATTAGATTCCACACTGTACTAAGAAGGCAGATCCTAGGCAATGCCAAAGATTTTTTAAAAGTTATGATAGAAAACCTTTCACAGGGGAAAATTTTAATCTATTAATTTTGTCTGCATCTTCAAAAAAATATATCATTTTATTTTAGCAACATGAATACCTTGTCCAACTTATAGAAGACCCTATTCTATAGGAACATAATGTTTCAACAACTGATTTTAACTTTTCTTCTCTGACTTTTCTTTTATCTAATGGCTCATTTCAATTTCTTAAATTTAGTTCTTTCAAGCTTTGAGAAATGTCCTCTACTTTTAAGAAAATTTGAAAGTGTTTTTTTTGTGGATGTAAACCACACTCATCAGAAAAAAATCTTAACTTCTCTGAATGAAGAGCAAATTTTTAATATGTTTATCCCCCTCTTCATCATTTTAGCAGCCATTATCTGGACTGCCAGGCAAACAATGCTACATACAGTATTCTAAGTATAGATAAATCATGATCTTAGAAGCTATGACAACGATTTTTACCTTGTTTCTAATATGATTAACCTAATCACTTTGTGGGCCATTATGGCAGGGAGCAGACAACCTTGAGAAAAGAGAATTCCATTTTTATATATGTAATTATATATAATAATATTTTATAATAACTCATATGACTGGGATGGTGAAGAGGAGGAAATCTTGAGAATTAAGGTATTTAAGTGATGTTTAAATCATTTTCAGCTAAGCACAGAAACCATACCAAACTCCGATTTTCCTTCTTCCCAGCTCACTAGTGGTTCCTTCTTGGTCTTTTATACTAGTTCCTCATCTCTCCCACCTCTTAATGATGGAATGTCCCAGTTTTTCATCTTACTAATCCATATTCACTCCCTTGGTGATTTCATTTGTTGTCAGGTTTTAAATAAAAATCCCCAAATTTCTGTCCTCCCTGGATCCAACTGGTATATTTAAAATGTCCAAACCCCACTTATCAGACAGAATAAAAGGAACCAGATTTTCCCTCCCATCTTAAAATAACAAAATCATGGAGAAAATATATGAAACAACAGTTTTCAAGACAATCAATACCTAGCAACGAAAGACAGTGATTCCCGACATGTTGAGTCCAATCACTACCCTAGTTCACTACCTTAAGAGAGTTTCCAGGTCATACTCCAGGAGAGGTAATCCAGACAGAGTCTGGAAGATTCCCTGGAGGAAACTGGGTTGAGAGTCTGGGAGAACAAGGTGACTAGAGTTCATGGGACTGAGTACTGAAGAAAAGAAAGCTGACAGAGAGAGAATTTCAGACATCTTAAGATGGTCTTGCTCAAGTATTCAACTGAATACTAATCAGCACATGCATAAATGAAAACTACTACCTAGGGCTGTAGCAAGAACCATCTGAAAGTATGAAAATAGTGCCCAGTGCTCACACAGGGACTGGAATAGTGTCTGCTCCCAACAGCCAGGCTGGAAAACCTCATGAATCATGAGTTATCGGACAAAGCAGAGGTCGGCCATTTTTTTCTGTAAAGGCCCAGACAGTATATATTTGATGTTTTTTTAGACCATATGATATCTGTTGCAACTTCTCAACTCTGCTGTGGTGGTGCAAAAGCAGCCATAGAAATATGTAAAGGAGTGGGTTTGACTGTGTTCCAATAAAACTTTATTTACAAATACAGGCTGAGAACTAGATTAGCCAATGAGTTTGCTGATCACTATAGTAGAGTACAGAGAAAGGTCTTGCTTGTGTAGTGGGGAATAATTAGCCCCAGACTAATCTTAGAAGCCTAGCAAATCTTAAAAGCAAGACCCAAAGTGATAGAACTATTTCCGAGTAACCTGTGTCCCAGAACAAAGCTCAATATTTAAATACAAAATATGTATATACAATACTTAACAAAGTAAAATTCACAATATCTGCCATCCAATCAAAAATTACTATGCATGTAAAAATCAATTTATTGAAACTGATGCAGAACTGACACTGATATCAACAAAGATGCTAAAAGTTATTATAACTGCATTCCTATATTCAAAAAGTTAAGTAGAAACTTGGAAGATATCAACAACAAAATCCAAATTGAACATCTAGATATGAACACTAGGATGGGTTAATGACAGATTAGACATCACCAAAAAAGAAATTGGTAAACTTGAAGACACTGCAATAACAACAATCCGAATTGAAACACAGAGAGAACACATACTTAAAAAAAAAAAATTAAACAGAACATATGTAAGATGGGAGAAGACTTCAAGTAGCCTAATAAACATTTAATTGAAGTCCTTGAAGGAAAAGGGAGGAGGGCAGAAAAAAATATTTAAAGAAATAATGGCTGAAATTTTTTCTAAATTTGATTAAAACTATTAACTTATAGATCCTAAAGCCTCACAAACCCCAAGCACAAGACATATGAAGAAAACTATACCAAGGAACATCATACTTACTCAAATTGCCCAAAACCAGGGATAAAAGGAAACAATGCAAGTGAGAATAGGGGAGCAACATCTTTAAAGTACTGAAAGAAATGAAAGGTCACCCAGAATTCTAAACCCAGCAATAACTTTCAGTAACTGAGGTGAATACTTTTCCAGACATAAACGCTGAAAGAATTCATCACCAGCAGAACTATACTGCAAGAAATGTTAAAGGAAGCCCTCAGGCAGAAAAGAAAATACTAGAAGAAAATATGAGTCTATAACAAGAAAAGAAGAACATGAGAAAAGGTAGCTACATTGGTTTAAGATATAAAAGACACTGGGCATAAAAATAGAAAGTATTTTTCTCATCATTTAAATCCCTTTAAAAGATAAGTAATTTTTGCTAACAACAATGTAGTTATATTCTGGCCTATCCTGCTCTTCACTGGCTCGGGCCACACTGACTTTTCATGTTGTTCCTCAAACAAGCCAAACAAGTTCCTGTTTCAAGCCCTTTGCCCTTAACTCTTGATTTTATGTGATACGTATCTTAAGGATTTAAAATATACAACTCAAAGTATTAATGTTTAATGGTCTCACTTTTCATATGTTCCTTTGGCTCTACAACTGGAAAGGTTAGTTGACGTACAAAACTATTTTTTCATACAATTTAAGTTAAATATAAAATAAAAACTAGCTATGCTCTGAGAACAATTTTAAAGTGTTAGTACATTTAAGAATCAACTCTACTTAGCTGAGACTACATTTTCTGTGCAGGATGATAAAAATCCATCCAAGTTGCCAATGTTTAATACATTCCTTAATATTGAAGTCCAGATGAATGTAGTAATTGAAAAAATTACTAAAACTAAAAAAAACATTCAGCATAATGTAAAATACCTGTATTTTAATTAAATATAAATAAGTCCATTTTACAGAGTTTTTGCTTAATATGAATAGAAATGTTTTTCTTCTTCTTCAATCAATCACATTCCTTCTCTTCACTAGTGATTCTTTACCCTATCCTAGGTATATAGTTCCTATTCATGTACCTATTCAGGCAGGTCTTAGAATCTTATTTTTAAACAAAAGTTTTAAAATACACGCTAAATGCATAAAACTGTTACTTAATTAGGGAGCAGGTCTTAGAAGACATGGGATATTGAAAATTTTGAACTAAATAGGCAGCAGAGATGGAATAAATAAAATGGAGTAAAAGTGGGGATGAAAGGAGAGGAAGGCTTAAATTCGTACATTCCTCTGGGGCGGTATCTATGCCATTATCATCCAACAATAACAAAAAAATTCCAGGGCTGGGCTAATATTAAACACTTCAGTCCTCTCCCCAGTACATTCTTTGATACCCAAATTACATATGCAATAGCACTGCAGGGAGACCTCTGCCAAAATTATATATAGAGAGAAGGAGGGAAAAATAGCTGAGTCCATCAATTTTTCCAGGATTATTTTTAGGAACAGATATAGTAACAAAAAATAATATATATATATTATTTTTAAACATGTATTTTAGCATGGGAAGGCACAGAGACTTCTAGCATGCCTATATTGTGAATTTTTATATCTCAAGAAATGTTAATTTGCACCAGAGTAAAGATTTTTGAATACATTTAATAAATACACAAAATCATATAAGGATATCATATCCAAATCTCAGCTTATCTTCAAGTTTCAAGGTGATGTAAGTCTGTTCTGGAATCCTTACATCATTCACAAAAGTCTATAAGAAAAAAAAGATGTTAGGTTATATGTGGAGTATTAATTACTACATTTCAGACCAGCAAATACTCAAAACTGATACTCAGAAGTACATATCATATGGTGGGTAATACAGTTTGTGTATCATAAGCATGCGTCATGCATCTTACATGCGGATAAAGGATTTCATATTCAGCCCTTTATCACTATTACTACTAACACACAAAGAACCAGGTCGCAGTTCTCTAAGTCCACCATGCTGCCAAGACAAATTTAGGCCCCTAAAAATGATGCCAAGGAAAGCTCCTACTCAGAAGCTGGCAAATGGTAAAGGGTAAAATACTTAACTCTCGAACATCAGGGTGTAATGAACTCAATTTTAGCTTTTCAGGACAATTCTATTTCTGAAGATTGTTATTTCATTACTTTTATTCTTAGATTTTTTTCAAAACAACAAAAAGAAAATTTAAAGAAACTGAATAAAACTCACTCTATTTTACAATTTCCATATGAGCCCTTTGGACCCTTTATGAATCTAAGATACATATGGGGTCTTAGTGATCTTATTTTTCCTGTATCTTGAAACATTCTGCTATTTCATCATCCTGTAATTATTTCATCATTACTCATCAATTATTTCTAACTATGCTGAAAAGGACCAAAATAAAACAGAAGAATAATGGAATTACTTAAAATATCATTATCCAACAAAAATATATTACAAGCTACACATATGCTATTAAATTTTCTAGCAGGCACATTAAAAGGTAAAGAGAAAAAGGTAAAATTAGTTTTAATAATATACTTTTAATTTAATCTATATGTCCAAATAGTACAATTTTAACAAGTAGTCAATATAAAAATTAACAAGATATTTTAAATTCTTTTTTTAGACCATTCACATTTCAAGTGCTCGATAGCTACATTTGGCTAATGGCTACTGTAGTGAAAAACACAGACATAGAAGGGATGATGCAATCATGAAATAAATCATCATTTATTACACCAACCTTCAGTTTTCTTACGGAATTACCCAAAATATTGCACCATCTTTCCAAAAAAACATAAAATACATCTGGAGACATTATCTTTGTCCTTTTTTTTTTTTTTCAGCTATCAAAGAGCACAACAGAGAATTCAGAATTTTCCATTTAACGTCCATAAAGACAAGAAGAAAACAGACAGGAAGATATTTCACAATTATAAGAGGAATACAAAAAGATAGACGGCAGCAACATATCAGACCATGAGTCTTCAGATGAAGATAATCCTAGATGAATTTCCTCTAACATAAGAATTTTCCCTAACACGAGAGAAGAATGTTCCTAATGACAAAAAATATATGCATATATTGTTCTTCCAGTTAGCGATTCAATAAGAAGAATCACGCAATATTTTCAACAAAAACCTAAGCCATTTTGACAATATTCTTTCATTTTATTGATGTTTGTGTTCCAACACTTATTGTGGATTTAGTTTGTAAGGGGACAGATGCTCAAGAAAGGTATCTACACAAAGAGAACTAGAAAGAAAGGTGATGGAGAAATAGTTAGCGGACTGGTCTTCTGTTGCTTACACATCTAAAAGTAAGAAATGTTTTGCAATTTTGGAAGAAGTCAGCCATCTCTTAACAAAATTTTAAGTTGTCAAAGTCTTTAAACTAATGCATTTTGACAATGCAAGAGTAGGAAGGACTAGAAATAATGATAAACTAGATACCAGCTAGAGATGTACTTGAAATCTGAGTTTGACATTTAAAAAATTTATATAAATGTCCAGGTGAATGCATGACAACTGATGAGTAGTTAGTGGCACTCAAAGAACATTTAATATTTTGTGTATTTACGTACCTTTCAAAACCAGAAAAATATGGAATAAAAATTTGAATTTGTCATGCCTAATTTTCATTAAAATTTCAAAGTTTTTTTTTCATTATCCTTTTATGCTTAGTTCTATAAATTATTTGTAAAAGGACAAAGGGTTCATTGGACACAGATGGTAAATGATAATGATTGTTATTTCTGGCATACAGGAAGTTAAAGACCTAGAATTTGCTAGGTTTATAGAACACAGAACAATGTTACACTTAAAGGCCCGGAATGCAGACATCATATAAAGACCTAACAAATTTTTCTTTGATAAGTTGAAACTTTAAAAATTACTTTATTCTTTCCTTTTGAATTCCATTTTTTCATCTTCTTTTTTACTGGATTTGTGATGGACCTCATAATTGGGAAGGGTCCCTCCATGGTGAGGAACTTTAGAAGGGTCCTGAATGATGTACAGTAAAATATATAAGGGGATTATGTTACTATAGTCATATTCTCAAATTCCTGTATATGACCGGCACTTTGTAATGTCATAGTTTTTAAGTCTACAGAAAAAAATTAGAGTTGTGATCTTTATTTCAAGCACAGATAATATGGAGATAGCAATTCTGCTAAAACTCGAGATCACACCTTGATATGATTTATGAGTAATCCTAAATTACAAGCTTTCAACATGCTTCATAGAAAGGTCGAAATGTTAATAGAAAATTCAAAGGCTTCAGGCATTTCTGAACACTGATTTCAGGTTCATTTCCAAAACATTTTAGAGTGCTTTAAAACTTATATCTTGAGTTTACCAAAATATTCTACATATAATTACAAAACAAAAAAGCTGAGGAAAATGATAGAAAAGAGAAGACTAGAAGAAAATATTAATTCACTGATGTTTGGTAGCATATGATAAATAATTAGGTATATTGTGTAAGAAGAATACTGCAGTTCTGAGCCAATTTTATTTAAAACTATCTCAACGTAAAACACCGTATTTACTCAAAATGCTGAAGATGACCTGTAAGGTCCACTTTAAAGCTTAAAATTGCTCAACTCTCCTAATTTTTAAGCATCTATTGTGTGTTTAACATACACTAGGTATTTTCAGAGATCAAGAAACATATCCTTTTAACATGCTGGCATTTATGACAGAAATATTCCCTAAGGTCTAAAAAGGCTTAGAAAATATAAGCCAGACACAAAGTTTTAGCTCACAAAACTGCAAGTGAAAACATCTGGAGGAAAATACGTTTAGTCTCCTGAAGGTCCAAAATTATAAAAGGAGAAGAGCAAATTTCAAAGAGCAACACATGCAAAAAATCATGGCATTAAAGCAATTGTAAAGCATTTTGATAAATTAGATATGGACAGAAAAATAGGTTTTGTTTCTTATGTCAGTGTCATTTGATCATACCTCTACCTGGCAGGCAGGACAGATGAAGACAGTGAGGCACAGAGAGTGAGGAACAATAAAGATCTCAGTGTTGAGAAGTGGAATTGTGGGGATTCAAGGTCTCTGAGCTACAAAATCTCATGTTCTCGCCACATCACAGAAGCTTGGGTGCCGAGGCCAGGCCAGCTCCCCACACTCCTCCATACAAACCACTAAACTCACAGAAGCAACCGAACTAGATAAATGCCTATTTCGTTCACATATAACTAAATTATATAATTGATAGGATAAAATCATATAACCACCATGTTTTATATTAATGCTCTTGGGAACTTGAGTGGCATGGCCAGGAGCACAACCACTTCAATCGCGTGGCCAGTGACAAGTCTCCTCTTCTTCCAGAACCATTCCTTTTCGTCTTCCCCACTCTAGACCATACTGGTCTGATGCTGGCCGGAACTCCAGTGGTAAAGGGGGACAGAGCTGGGGCCAGAAGACAGGGAACTGAGAGGCAGCCTAGTACCAAAAAGCGAAGCTGGCCTGGATGGGAGTGGTACCATGCAGGCCTGGTAATCTCAGAGGGGCAAGTGTGCCAGCAGAGAGAGAGGCAGGAAGAACTGAAGGCAAATACGGGCTCTCAAGGGGCTTGCACGGAAATGACCCACTACCACATCAGCTACAGAACCAGCTCCAGCTCACTCAGGCAGAGCGACCTTGTTTCTGGTAGCAATAACATCAAGTGCAGATCTGGGTCCCTTGGGAGTGTATTTTAGGGTAAAGTGAAAGGGAGAAGGAGTGGAAGTCACAGGTAGAGTTATTTATAAATTGAGTTTAATTGGTAAGTGCTTTAATATGTAAAATAATGTATTTATTGAATAGTATATAGGCTACAGGATGCTAAACTAGTTTTAACTGGTTTTCTTACCATAACAACAATAACTAGCACTTATGAGTGGTTACTATTAAAAGCGTTTAAACTTAATTTATTTATAGCTTCACAACAACCTGAGAAGACTATAATTTTACTATTTCTATTAAAAAATTGAGGAACAGAAAAATTAAGTAACCTGTCTAAGTTTACATGGCTCGTATGAATTCAAGCTGGGCATATAACCACTACTACATGTGTCCCCTTCTGAAATCACTACTTTTAACCTGATGCACAAATTTCTAGAATTATATGAATATTAAGAGTAAGTAGGCTGTGAACAATAGTCTACAAATTCTCTTATGAATAAAATGCTTGCTAGTTGGTAGTTCAGACCATGGCTACCAAAGTCAGTTCTGGCATATCTCCTAGGCTGTCACTTGGGTAACAGAACGTTCATCATTTGTGTAATGCTTTGAAGTTTTGGGACAGTCACACACCCACATGTATTGTCACATTTAATCCTCATAATACTACAAAGTGGGAATTATTGTTTTTATTACCATTGTTACTATTTTATTATTTTTTTTATTTTAAATTTAATTTATTTATTTATATATTATTTATTTGTTTATTTATTTATTTATCTATTTATTAGCTGACCCATCCTGCCACCTGTTGGCAGTTCATATGTCTCATGTGAAAACAGTTTCCACCTGCCTATCACTTTCTACTTTCATCCATTCAACATGTTAACATCATTAGCAAGTTAATATCCCCAAATGCCTTTTCTTTGTTCCCATCAGGAAAAAGTGGAATTTGGGTTTTATTTTAAAAATAAGTATGAATTTGATCAATTATAAGGCCAGATGGGAGAAGTACTAGGCTGAAGAAAATCTAGCGAATTCTTTGGAGGAGACAGTATGCGTATGAAACTACTGTTTTGGAGGCATGGCAAAGGAAAGTGCGATCCAGCATGAATCTGGAGATGTGGGTGATGCCAAATGTGAGCTCTTTCACGTCAAACATGAAGAGTTTAGACTTAATTCTATATGCATGAGAATCTAATAAAGGCTTGAATAAAACCAACAGGAAAACATGCCTACAAAAAAAGTATCTCAAAGAATAAATATGAAGTCCTTCAGTAGCAGGCCAATTCAGAACAAGAAAAAAAATTTTACTGTATTTGCCAAAGTTCTGCATATGTTTTTCCATATAATGTTTAATGTGTTTTGAAAAGCAGTAGCAGTTAGAAGCAGTTTAGGATACTTTTAGTTTCTGTTAAATTCATTTTAAGATATCCAATAGCACAGATATGAACAACATTGTATTTGCTTATGTTAGCAGAGACATAAGAAAATTAAGAATAGGATAAATTATTCAATACTTCAGTATTCTCTTATTATGTGGCTAATTATACTTTTCCAATGTTGAATGATCAACGGAAGAATTAGAGGAAAATTTACTACAAAAAACAAAACACAAAAAGTAACACAAAAAATATCTTCAAAGTAGGAAACTAAAGAAGCAATAATAAACACTGGTTGTTAGATCACATAACCATATTTGTTAAGGTAAATGAATATGTTTCACTTCTTTTTACTGTAGTATAGAAGGTTCTAGGTCCTCCACCATCTGGTACCAAACCACATTTCCACCTGTATTTTCTCAAGTTAACACACGCTGCTCTGTCTCCCAAGAGTGCTTTTTTTGCATTCTTACTGCCATGCCTTTTGGCTGTTTCCCACATATAAATTTCGAGCCATTTAGTGATATCAAGCTTTCATCTAATCTCCTTAAAGAAATCTTTTTTAAACATTACAGATAAGAACCAAGAACCTTCTGAATTCTTCTGAGTATTTACTGTCTATACAGTTTCTTGAGAACATGGACTAGTTTTATACTCCATTGTATGGTTCCCAAAGTGCTTACCTAGTAAACATTTATAAGTAAAATGCAAACTGAAGAAAAAAAAATACAAACAGAAAATGTAATCTCATTTGCCTTCTTACAACATTAAACTGATATTCAAATAAGACAAAAAATAAGCTCTTTACTTACCCCATTTAGGCTGCCTAAATCTTTAACCAAATGTTCATCCGTAGAGGCATCATAATTGATTACAGCATGTTGCTTATCCACACTACGAGACTGAAAGAAGTTTTAAAGTTAATAAATACAAGAAAATGTCAGAATAAAAGCACAAAGATTTTTAGCTAGATACTTTGTATTAATAGGATAGTAGATAAATATAGGAAAATATCAAAGTAAAAGTGGATTAAATGATATTTAAACTGTTACTATACAACGCAAATATGGCATCACTCCCCAATGAGGAAAGCAGCCATAATTTTAAGACATTCTTTTCTACCAGATTCACACATTCTACTTTTGAGAGAATTTAAATCAGCTGAGTTTGTTGGATGTATGAATATTTTTTTAAATTTCAAACCGTTATATGGGAATCATGAACTTTATAATGTTAATGTATCTTATTGTTAAAAAAAAAAATTACCCTACAGGATTTTCTTTTTTTAATACCAGAAACTACAACATAAATTATCTAAGTACTCCAAAGATAAAAGAAAAGGGACACAATGTGCCCTGTTCCTGAATAAAATTATCTTCACATAGATTGTAAAACTGAAATTCATGAAAGCATTCTGAGAGGGAAAGAGAAAGTCAAAAAAAGGAATTAAAATGGCAAACTGATTTTTGAAAATTGCTTTTAATTCTCTTTAAAGTTCTCACTCCCAACCCCCTCTCTCCAGAGTTTAGTGAACTGTTTGCAGATGGAAGTACCTGAAAGATAAACTCTAAGTCTGTGGAAAGTTCTACTGAAAGGAAGCATATACAGTCTAGTCACAAGAAGAAATAGTCTAAGAACCATCGAATCTGAACTCAATCGCCATTTATCACGGGGTTACTTCGTGAATCTTTTATACTGAAAAGCTAAGAAGTATCCAAAATGGAATGGACATGTGACTTCCAGTTTCCAGTTCGACATATGGAAATTTGTAAGTCATGGCTGTTGTCCTCAAAACAAGAAAAGAAGTGACCAAACTGACAATCAAAGCTCATTTTATTTTCATCAAAGAACTGAGGTCATAAGGCCAATTGCCAACCTGAAAACTGGAGAGACTGGTGAATACAGAGAAGGGCAGTGGACTAGGAGCAGAAAGCACTGCTGCAGGCCGCAAATGGTAAAAAACCTCAAAGACCTGCTGGAGACTTGAGTGTGAACTAGTTTAAGAGATTAAAACACCCAGGGCCTTCAGAAGACATTGCTTTTTCATGAGTTAAATCTCCAGCATACTCACAAAAATCTCAGCATGAAGACAGGAGAAAAATCTTCTCCTGCTTCAGTAAGGGTGAGGGGAAATTAACCTTAATGAAATACACCCAGAATGGCCTCCCCTCATGTTACCAGAGCTCAGCCAACACGAGTTTTACCAGAGTCTAACTGACATGGGAGAATGGAAATACCCAACTGCAGCCTCAGCCTGCTCTAGCCTCCCTGTGTCACCCAAGGATGAGGACCAAAAAAAAGCTGGGATGCACCTATGAACATCACGGCCCCACTAAAAGATTGAGAACTAAAATTCAGAGAATTATAGAATGCTTCCCCTCTCCCCAATCCTTCCCATCACATCAACAGGGACTTACAAATATACATAATAATACATAATAGTAAGGGATTACAATGGGAAGAAAAACAAAGCTCAGATTCTTTAAGGAATCTCTAGGGAAACTCAAACACAACAGGTGACACCAAGGGCAAGAAGGGCACTTAGAGGAAACGTTAACTAACCTCCGACATTTTTAGCTAAAGCAAACAGGGCTTAACTCCTGCCACATAAACAAAAGGGGGAGAAGGTCAGCAATTAATAAACAATTCAGATGTAAATCCTAGTTGAAATGACCCTTTCCAAGTAAATATTACTAAAATTAAAAGCCCCTTCGCCAATTAGCTTCAATTCCATATTGAAAAAGTTTTGGTCTTTCCTTCTGGAATACAAACCTCTATATTGAAGTAACTGACTTTGGAGGAAACAAAACCTATAAACACTAATCATACATACACTCTTGTTCTTGAAACTTTTAAGGGTTGTTTCTGGTTTGGTTTTGTTTTCTCTGAAATCTCAACCTCTCTAGGACAAATTGCAAATCTCAGAATTAACAGGAGCTTTATAAACAGTATCACTGCCACTTCTCTATATCTTAACTGGAAAACCATCTGTTATGGCAAATTACAGGTGTAACCACTGTAAAACATCTGCGTTAAATCTAATAATTAATTCAACTTCATTTTGGTTTTTATTATTTTAATTTGTTGTCCCATTTAAACTAATTAAGTACTAAATTCAGTTATTTGGGTTATATGAAGGAAATGCAGTAGAAAAAAATTTCTCGTTATGGATTTGTGAAGTGAATTAGTCTAAATATAAACATTTCTACATGTTGTAAGGCAAGTGAGATTTCAAGTTATATGTAGGCTCTCAATAAATATTGAATGGATCATCATAAATAATCTCTCTGTGGGGAGAATATAAAGAAAAAATCCTTAGAAGAGTGTAGAGAAATTCAAGGGGAAAAATCTAACAGAGCTGAGAAAAGGAAAAGCACTAAGGAAAGTGAAAGGTTACTATTAGACACGGGAACGAAGTGGAACGGCTGCTCACGGAGCCGGGGATCGGCAGCTTTTCAGGGAAGGGGTGCATGCACACGGATCAGAGATCCAGAGAAAAAATGGTTTGTGGAGAAATAATTGGGAGACGTCACTTCACTGAGTTCACAACTAGCTAGAAACCTGGAAGACCCTGAATCTGATATTCACTCACCCTGCTCTAAAATTGTTTATGGGGGTTAAATAAGTATAAGAACATCCACTAGAAAATGTAGAGCTCACAAAAGACATTAGAGTGCATTGAGTTGAGATGCCACTCCAACTTTGGGGACTGAGGAGTGAAGCAGTGAGGATATTACGTGGGGACAGGAAAAGCAATAGTGCCCTGCTTATCAAAAGTTCCTCTGTGGGCATCCTGGCTAAGGTAAAATATATAATCTTTAATGTAGCACACAAGGCCCTCCAAGATCTGGCCTATTCTGACTCCGAAATCTTAAGCTCTCAAACTGCTTGCCTTGACATCCCATATGTAAACTACAAGGAATTATTTTAATGACCTCAACAGACACTGAATGTCACACTATCTGCAATGCCATGTACCAACCACACTCTAACATTCCATTTATTCATCTTGTAAGATTAGTCAGCGCAAGCCATCTCCTCCATGGAGTCTTTCCAGATTTCTCATCCCCACATTTCCTTGCAGGTAGAAATGACCCCTCTGTTTTTGTGTCCTGTGTCACACTGTTTTTTATACTTATTTGTTTAGATGCATCTCTCCTCCTACCAGACTCTAAGCCTTCAAGGACAGAGACCCTATCTGTACACACATTGATCCCACAGCACCTAGCATAGAGCCTAACACACAGTAGGTGCTTAATAAAGGTTTGTTGGAAATAAAAGTACATGCTGTTTGGCCAATCACATTTCAAAAAGCATGGAAGTATAAAAGTTTTCTTAGATTAATATAATAGCATAAGTATTGAAGTTACAAAGTCCAAACCAACTTTTAAGAAATGTACAAACTGGGTGGCTTAAAAAAACAGAACTAAAACAAACAAATTTGTACTCTCAGACAAGATAATTATAAACCCAGAAAATTTTGGAAAGTAAAAGTATTAAAATGAAGCAAAACCACTTTTTTCATTTAAGAAATACTTCCTTTCCTGCAAAACAAACAACAAAAAGCCTGCCATCAAATAAAGGCAAGACATAAAAAACAATTTCAGGCCAGGCACAATGAAAAACCATCAAGGACTCAAGTTGACTAATTTCTAACTAAAAACAAACACATGAAATGGTTACCAGGTATGTGTCATATCTGCTTTGGGTATGAAATGGCTACTTTTTAACATTATTGTTACTCCTTGTAGTGGTTTTTCCTACCAAAGAATTAAGAGGGGGAAAAAGACACAGAAATAATACACGGATACTTACGCTAAGACGCTTAGACAAACTTAAAGAGATAAAGAAAGATTGCTGTGTGCCAGCACCATTTAAAAATCTTTTTAAAAGATACTATAGCTGAAAAATTCTTTAAAACCCAGTTGCATTTTACAACCATAGTGATTTATCCTCTGCTATGTGCCTCAAAGCACAAATGGAAATAAGTTACTTATGATCTTCAAACATATTCCATTGTCCTCCTGGGGACTGTTCCTACATCAGTATGAAAATTATAATATGAAATAGTAAGGCATATATAATTTCATTCTAGTTTCTATTATGCATCAGAAAAAAACATGCTTAATTAATATGATTCTCAAAATAGCAAAATTCAACCATTGGTGCAATTATATATTTTATGAAGATAAAATGAGAATTTAAATAGGAACTTTTTTCAAAATAAGAACTTTTTAACTATTTGTACAAAGAAGTAGTCAATTTATTATAATGAAAGTTTGTGCATGTTTACTGGCAGGAGAATTAAGTTACCAAACCAATTTAGGTTACATGGATGCAGCAGCAGCAGAGTGGTAGAAGGGAAAGACCATTTGATTCTGAGCCAACGTTACCAAGGTTTAAATCACTTAATGATCATGTGACGACACTGGCCCAGTGACTAAGTCTTTTTTTTTTTTTTTTAGCTGATCCATCCTGCCACCTGTTGGCAGCTCAGCGGCAGCTCAGCTTGGGCCAGGAATCGAACCGGCGACCCTGTTGCTCAGAGCTCGCACTCTTGAGTGAGCTCTTAACCAACTGAGCCACTCGGCCGGCCCTTACTAAATCTTTCTGAATCTTAATTTTCCCATCTGTAAAATCGAGATGATTATATCTTTCACAAAAATGCTGAGAAGAACTGAAATAACATAAATGAACATCGAGAACTAGAAAGTACTATTCAAATGCAAGGTTCTTTTAATAGTGGTAATATTAATGTATTACTTAAAACAAGGAAAGTATAATTTTCATCCAATAATTATACTTGACACCTTTCATCCATGGCTAAGATTTATTTTGCATATGTCTTATGAAACACAGCATAATCATTGTTCCATAGAAAGTCAAACAAGCACAACAAATATAATTTGCCAATGGCTTCCAAGGTAAGTGGTAGGATTATAATTCAAATTCCAGGATTTCTTGTTTTTACCTATTCTTTATTATCCAAGCACATTTTCTTCTCAATGACCATATTCTTCAGACTACTTGTTTTGGAATGAGATGAAATAACACAAAACATAAAAGTAAAAAAACTTTTGTCATAAAGTATCAAAAAAAGTTTAACTGTAATCAAACAGATCATATGTTTGGATCATTTGTTTCCTTTTTACACTGGATTTTAAGCCACATTATCATCAAAGTATTTTTTCAAATGCCAGTAAATCTATTTGTACTTGAAATCTTTATAGGTAAGAAACTTCTAAAAATTATTCGAGGCTAAGATTCTAAAATCCAACAACTGGTTTCCTATATGAGGGTTTTAAACCATAAATGCAGAATTAGTTTAACCAAATTTTAGATCTATCATATACTTATTAAAAAGGGATAAAATATTAACTATTTGTACTTCTAACAATTTTAATTAACTATCACAGTGACCTAACCGACGTGTAGAACCATTCAGGTACGTAAAGCCTTTAAAATGAAAACCTAAGTTCCCAAATCTGAACCTAAAATACGGTCCCGTTCCGACGGGCTTATATCCAAACAGAATCATCACTGCCTTTTCTCAGTTGCCGTGCTCACCACTCCATCTAATTGAGAAGCCCAGGAAAATCTCTGTACTATCCTATTTCTCTCATTGAACTTGTTTAATTAGGGAGTCATTGTATATACAGCTTACTCATATGCTCATCAAGCTGTAGAGAGGCTTTACTTTTATTGTCTCAAAACTATAAACAAAATAAGCTCTTCAATTTTAAAGTAAAAAGGTAATAAGCATATGCAAATTTGATTCTTCTAGGAATAATTCAGGGTTTCTCAATCTCGCCACGTGATATTTTGGGCCAGATAAGTCTTTGCTGTATGTGTCTGGCGGAGGCTGGAGAAGTATGCTGCACACTGGAGGATATTCAGCAGTGCTCCAACCTCTTGGCCTCTACCTACTAGGTATCACTAGCAACCACCTCCAACACCCCCCTCTGTAACAACCGAAATGTCTCCAGATATTGGAGAGCGTGTGTGTATGGTGGTGAAGTGGGGGAGGCAGGATCCCTCCAGTTGAGAACCACTGGGCTAATAAACATTTCTACTCTAAGTACTAGTTTACAGTTTTGAACCAAAAAAGCGGGGGCAGGGCAAGGGACTAAGACTTTATTCTAGATTGCTGGACCTACCTACTAAAATATCTAAATCCTCAAAAATCTAAAGATTCATTTCTCTGCTAATTACTTTACTCAAAAACATCTTAAAAGTGTCTTTCAAAAGTAACTCCTTTATACATAGTTCAATAAATACCACAAAGTTTAATTATAGTCAAACTACTGGAAGATATCTCAAACATCTCTAAAAGAAGTAAAACTAATATCAGTATCACTGACGCATCCACAATTAAAACTCAGTTCTACTTCATGCCATGCTAATTTTATGAATTATTTACAAGTCTTATTTTAAAACTGCATGTGATACCTCTTCCTTCTTAAGAATAAGCTTCTCTACTCTGAGTTCTCATTTTTCGAAATTGAATCCCCAAGATTTATTTTGAAATGATTCAAGGGGGAGAAAATTAATTAATTAAACTGGTAACTAGAGGTAAAAGAGAAAGAGCCAGAAAGTTCATATCTAAGTAGTGTTCTTCTCCAAAGAAATAGAAAAATATTTTATACCAATTCCAGGTTTTGAGTAGACAAATATAGAGGGTCGATGCAATTACCTGCAACATGAGCTCGCAGTCATCTCTTCCGACAAAAATCATTTCTCGTGGCAGCCTGTGGCGAGTGCCTCCACTGCTCACCAAAAACCAGGATGTTAAGCTCATTTTCTGCTTAGCTTCTAAGTCTTTGGCAAAGCTACGTCATCCTGTAGAGAGATATTCAGAAAAACACACATTCAGATATTTTTAACTTGAGCATTGATTGCATCACCAAACCCTATGTGTAGGTCTCAGAACAGAACTGCATTTAACATTTACCCCTGATTAAACAGACAGTCCACAAGTCCCAGGAAATGACCTATCTACCAATTTCTCATTAGTAAAGTAAGTCCACAGATTCCACTAAGACTTTAATTAAAAAGAAAGACATTAGGCAATTAAGAAGGTAGTGAACTAATAAACACATCATATTCCTGAAAAACTTTGAGCATTACTTATAAAGGTGTAGAATCCTCAAGCAAACGATCACATTAGAATGCTAACCTCAGTAAATACTACCAATATTGTACAAATGAATGTCTAACTTATAAATTATTTAAGACCAAGTTCAAATGAATATATTTGATATCTGATTGAGGACAATAAAAACCAAAGAAATGGCTTCTTTGTCTACCAAGTGTAGACCACTGAATGCAATTTCAAAAACATGCAATTTCAATTTATCTGTCCTAATATGTACTTTACTTTCTCTATAAGTTTTTCTAGAGCAACAATGCTTAAACTTTTTGTTCTTGGGACCCTTTTACACTCTAAAAAAATGACTCCAAAGAGCTTTTTCTTTACATGGGTTAAATATATTAATGATTCCCATACTAGAAATGAAAACTGACAAATTGGTATTTATCAATTTATTTAAAATAATGAGTAAATCAATTTAATGTAAAAATAAGTAACATTTTAATAAAAAATAATTATTTTTCCAAAACAAAAATAATCAGCGATAAGAGTAGTACTGGTTTACATTATAAAACATCTCTTTAATGTCTGGCTGAATAGAAGATTTTCATATTTGCTCTGTATTCAATCTGTTACCATATACTGTTTAACCTGAAATGTTTAAAAAGACCTGGCTTTATTAAGTTGGAAAATGGAAATTTATTTTAATAGTCTTTTCTAATAATTGTAGGTAATTTTCTTTGATACTACATTAAAACTTCATAAGTGGTAGTTTTTTGAAAGTTATTTACAACACAGAATATGAAATTTATCATACTACATTTCAAGAAAATACAATTTCTACTTTAAAGGGGTTTTGTAATATCACCCATTGGTCATTTGGAAAATAGGTATTGGTTCCCAGAGTTACACAGATCTCCCAAATGATGACACACATTTCATTTTACTATTTAAAAAGATTACATCCGTTAATTTCATCACCCACATCATCAGAAAAGTCTTTAATTACAGCAGGTCCTGGAATAACGTCATTTTGTTACAAATGATGATAAGATGCCATATTATTTATATCAGTTAGCCTACGGTAAAACTGGCTTCATTATATACTGTCTTGCTTAAAGTCACAGAACTTATCTACAACATTAAATGAACACTTGCTGTACTGGTCAGCTGTTAAGCTCATGGTGGCAGATCAAGTTCCCTAAAATTCTAAATTTTTCTTGAAAGTTCAAATTTTATTGGCAAAAATAATATTGCCAATTCTTTCCTTTGAAGTGACAGGCTCACTCAGTTGGCCAAATATAGAAGGTCCCTGGCTTACGTGGTTCCCCTTAAGATTTTTCAACTTTATGGAGGTATAAAAGCAATAATGCATTTGGTAGAAACCATACTTCAAATTTTTGAATTTTAATCTTTTCCTGGACTAGTGATATGTAGTACGATACTGTCTCCTGAGGCTGGGCAGTGGCGGCAAGCCACAGCTCCTGATGAAGAAGATAAACAACTGATGCTTGATAATGTACTGTGTTGACAGTATTTCTATGGATATTGTGTTTTCACATCCCATCATGTCTACAAAACATGTTTCCTGCTTCTAGTAAGAAAAAGGAGAAAGGCAATTACTCTTGAGATGAAATCAACTGCCCAGCTGTAGGCTACAGTAAGTGTTCTGAGCACATGTACCAGTAGACCAGGCTAAGCTATGATGTTGGGCAAGTTAGGTGTATAAAATTCATTTTTGACTTACTATAATTTTAACTTAAAATGGGTTTATCGGGATGTGACACCATCCTAAGTTGAGAAGTATCTGTACTCAAGTCTACAAACCATAGTTTCTCTGTCAGTCATTGTTTCAATTATAAATGACGTTCCATGAAAGAAGTAGCTAGTTCAGCTCATAACTCAATGACACAAATGCTTGTTTCTTGAGACAACCACGGTACTTTGGAATAGAGTATAGGTGCATATGCATGCTTCCACTTAGTCATACAAAATATTAAAAAGATGTGACTCAAAAGTCAAATTATGAGTGTCATAATAACTTTTCCCTTTATTTCTTTTTTGCAGATTTTTTTTTGTTATTTAGAGCTCAGTTTCTTTAACATCTTTCTCTTAGGTTCAGGTGTACAGAACAACATAATGATTAGACATTCACACCCCTCACAAAGGGATAAGCCCCCCAAATCTACTACTACTCTGACATCGTAGATAGCTATTACAGTACCATTGACTATATTCCCTATGCTGCACTTTACATCCTGTGATGATATATATATGTATATATATATATGCTACTACATATATAATGTATATGTGTATATATATACATATATATTTAATTAAAGTTGACATTCAATATTATTTTATATTAATTTCAGGTGTACAGCACTGGTTAGACATTTATATAATCTATGAAGTCACCCTCGAATAAGTCCAGTACCCATCTGAAACCCTACATATAGTTTTTACATTATTGACTATATTCCCCATACTTTATTTCACATCCCTGTGACTATTTTGTGACCAATTTGTACTTTCTAATCCCTTCACTTTCTCCCACATCCCCCAACCCTACTCCCATCTAGTAACCATCAGTTTTTTTCTCTGTATCTATGAGTCTATTTCTGTTTTGTTTGCTCGTCTGTTCTTTAGATTCCACATATAAGTGAGAGCATATGGTATTTTTCTCAGGCTGACTTATTTCACTTAGCATGATATCCTCTAGGTCCATGCATGTTGTTGCAAATGGTAAGATTTCATTCTTTTTATGGCAAAGTAATACTCCATTGTATAAATGTACCGCAATTTCTTTATCCAATCATCTACTGATGGACATTTTGGTTGTTTCCATATCTTGGCTATTGTGAATAGTGCTGCAGTAAACAGGGGTGCATATATTTTTTTCAAATTACTGTTTTGGATTTCTTTGGACAAATACCAAAGAGTGGAATTGCTGGGTCATAAGGTAGTTCTATTTTTAATTTTTGAGGAACCTCCATACTGTTTTCCATGGTGGCTGCACCAGTTTGTAATCCCACCAACAGCGCACAAGGGTTCCCTTTTCTCCACATCCTCGTCAACACTTGTTGTTTGTTGATTTATTGATGATAGCCATTTTGACAGGAGTGAGGTGGTATCTCATTGTGGTTTTTATTTGCATTTCTCTGATGATTAGTGACATTGAACATCTTTTCATATGTCTATTGGCCACCTGTATGTCCTCTTTGGAGAAATATGTATTCATGTCCTCTGCCCACTTTTTAATTGGATTGTTTGGTGTTGAGTTATATGAGTTTTTTATAAATTTTGAATATTAAACCCTTGTCAAATGTATCATTGGACAATATCTTCTCTCATTTAGTAGGATCTCTTTTTGCTTTATTGATGTTTTTCTTTGCTGTGAAAAAAACTTTTCAGTTTGATGTAGTCCCATTTGTTTATTTTTCTTTTGTTTCCCTTGCTTAAGGAGATATATCAGTAAGAACTATTACTACAGGTAATGTCTGAGATTTACTTCCTGTATTTTTTTCTAGGAGTTTTATGGTTTCAGTTCTTACATTTTCTTTTTTTCAGATTGATTCAAGACTTTTAGATATTCTAAGACAAGTACATTCCTAATGATAATATATATCTACTTTCCATATTTGTTGTTTGGGTATTTCATTCTCATTCTTCTGAATTCATTTGCAACTTAGATACCAATAATACTGAAAGCACCAGCTATGATTCAATAGAAACTAAATATAAGGGGCAAATGTCTCCACAGTCAGGTTAATCTAACTCTGAATATGCGCCCAGTCACTCTAGCAATAAGGATAGTGTAATTCATCCTGTAACATGATATGCTAATATTTCCTTACTCTCAGATGAAATGCCTAAGAGAATATTCTTGGTATATGCATGGATTTGAAAAGAGGCTAGGATAAGGAAAACTAACGGATCCGTTAAAAAAATTTGGGTTATATGAGAAAGTACTTTGAAATACATTTGTTTACCAGTTACTTACTCTGCCTTTTATCAGGCACAATTTTAGGAGCTGATGATAAAGCAATGAACAAAACCTTGTTACCTTAGTAGAACATTCTAGTGAAATAATATATAAATACATGAATACCAGTCATCATTTTGCCCAGGTTAACTTTTACCTTGGTAAGGAGTTCTATAAAAGCTACATAGGAATATCATGGAAAATGGGACTAGGAAGCTCCAGGAATCCATCGCTCCACCTAAACAACTATTGAAACTATTGAATTGCCTTAGTAACTATTTTGGGACTCTGGTGTCCAGTCAAAGAAAATCAGCAAAATGACATATGAGAAGAACAAGAGTATCAATAATGAGATAGAAATTATATAAAGTGAACTCAATAAAGGGGTTCAACAGCATATTTGAGCAGGCAGAAGAAAGTATCAGTGACCTTGAAGATAAAGACAACTGAAATTATCCAGTGTGAGGAACAGAAAGAAAAAAGAATAAGGTAAAATTAATAGAGCCTGAGGCACCTGTGGGATATCATCAAATATGCCAACACATATGTTATATTGGAGTCACAGAAGAAAAAGAGATGAAAAAAGGAGAAGAAACAATTTTTGAAAAAATAATGGGAAGAACTTCCAAAATCTGAGGGAAGACATAAATATATGCACATCCAGTAATCTGAACAAACTCCGAGCAGGATAAACACACACATTCACACTGAGACATGCTATATTCAAACTGTCAAAATCGAAAGAAAAAGACAATTTTGAAA